TAATTGTCCATTAGGTATAACACCCCGACGCTTACATTCGATACTAAAGGCCCCCGACATTTAATTCTGTACTAAAACTCCCCGACGATTACATTCGGTACTAAAGCCCCCCCGACAATTACGTTTTGTACTAAAACCTCCCGACAATTACTTTCTGTACTCAAACCTCCCGACAATTACTTTCTGTACTCAAACCTCCCGACAATTACTTGCTGTACTGAAACCTCTCGAAAATTACTTTCTGTACTAAAGCCTCCCGACAATTACATTCTGCACTAAGCCCTCCTGACAATTACATTCTGCACTAGGACCCCCCCAACGTGACCTCTTCCCACAGTGCCGCATAAAAAAAAGAACCCTTAGCATAAAAAAAGAAACCATTAGCATAAAAAAAGAAACCAGGAGCATAAAAGAAAGAACTGCAAGCATAACAGAAAAAACCATTAGCATAAAAAAAGCACTATAAGCATAAAAAAAGAAACCCATACCCCAAAAGCACACCAACCCCGCTGTGAGCATAAGAAAAAAACCATTAGCATAAAAAAAAAACACCCAGCCCCATTACAAGGGGCCCAATTGAATCCACTTCAACCCCAGTCCGACGCGGACGGGCCCACGCGGTCGACCGCCTGCTTTGAGAGGCTTCACCGGCAGGGTGCCGAGCTCTTCAGGGGGCCAGGACTTGATCTTGAAATGGTTCTGGGCCTCCGAGGCGCAGGGCATCGATCCTGATCCGGAGCTGTATTCCGCCCAAAAAGAACGGGGGATGACTTATACTTTGTGTTGTTGTTTCTTTTATACTTTGTGGGGGGGGAGAAACAACACAACATGTAGAGAACACTACAGATGGGTCCACCCTTGTGAAGGTGTCATGGTGTCACTGTATAAATATCCATCATCCCCCCCGCAATAGTTCCTTCTACCGCCACTAAACATGGAGGCCCATGCAGTATAGGAGCAAGAGCTGAGGAAAGAACACATTTCGTTAAATGTTCAACAACATGCTGCATGCTCTATATCAATGATGCTCATGTGACTCATGTGGTTGTGGGTCAGTCACTTCACCCTCACAAACCAATCAGAAACCAAACAAAGGGTGGATATCCCTGTTAGCCCTATTCATTCATTTGGAATCCACTAGGATCCGATGACGGCAACTCGGCCTCTTGGAAAAACTTGAAGAGGTAGCCATCGGGCAGGTTTCGTCGATAGCTGTCCTGGCTGGACCGCATTGACCTCCAGATCTCATTCCAAACCCAGCTCTGCATTGCGCAGAACGCAGCTAGCAACCACCATGTGAACTCTCGAGTTGCTGAAGGTCCTTGCCCTCGGGATTGTCCACCGTCTGGAACTGTCTCTCTTCCGCAAACTCCAAGTCCTCATGCCTTTGGAGGAATGAAGACGTACTCGCAACTCATGCACAACACGACCGATATGCGGAGTGTTTTGCACCTTGAAAGGCCGAAAGCACAAACACGGGACAAATCTTCCACCGCAAGGCTCACATTTGGAAATTCACCCGACATTCCAAACCCATTGGCTGGGTAGGAAAAGAAGTTAGACTGAGTCGGTTGTTTCTGCACATTCAGTTGGCGACAGGATGGACATGCTGGCGGCTCTTACGCACTAGGCTTCACTAGCTGGCTATCGATTCAAACTGTCCACCTGCATCACACCCTCCACACCCCATCACTAGACTCACTAGACCAAAGAAAAAGGGACTCCTTCGTCCTTGAACAACTGAGGATCCAACAAATCGAATAGACATTGATTGCTGTGCCCAAGAAACCACTTAATTAGACAGGTATTGTACGCCTATATATCCCTATGTCGTGTTTTCGGAAGATACCAGCACTTCAGCACTTCCATCAAATCCTTTCGGTTTGATGCTTTCCTCCCATCCACCGTGGAAGGCTTCATCCCCATGGAACGACTCAACGACCCCCATGAAACGGTGTCGTCTTCTCTTCCCACCCGTCAGTTCGCCCGTGTTTCACGGTGGCGGGTCCGGTGGGTCCGCCGCGGTGCAGGGCACGGATGGCACTCTGCAGGGTGGCCGTGTCGAGCTGACTGCCCACGAGCACGCCTTCAGCCTTGGAGGAGCCTCCGCCGAGGGAAGTCGCTAAGGTGAACCCTAGACTTCCGTTCGACCATTCAAAAAAATGGTTGACCTGGTTTTTGTAGTGTAAAATCCTTAGTTGATTCGGGATGACCCGCCTATTAAATCTATGGTTGTTGGAAGCCTAGGGTGAAAGCTCAGTCGCCAAGTCGGTGACTGGCCGGTCCCAAAATTGGCACCTTTTGCGGAAGACCGGGAGGCCCGTTTTGGTTCTTTCAGGTCATTTCATGTTCCGTTCACTTCGTGTTTTTCCCTTGGGGAACACAATAAAACAGGTACAGTATACCTTCTTCCAGAGAGGACTTTGTATCTAATGCGCTGGTGGTCTCCCAGGTCGATGCCTCGGTATGTCGGGCCGTGGCACGGCCCGGTCGTGGTCCATGGTGGATCAGCCATGACGATGACTATAGATTGGACAAAGGAACACCACTTGGGAACTCTTCTTTTTCAGGGTCTTGGAAGAGCAGTCAAAATAAAAAACAACACACTATAATAGGCATGGAGTATACCAAACTCCTGCAATCTGGCGGTTGATACTGAGTCTCCGGACGACTGGGTGTGGCTGCCCAGTAGCCTCAGGGATACATCTGAGCTTGGAAGCTAGGTAACGAAGGTGGTGCAATTCCTGCTAAAGCACCAAAATCTATCATCAACATTATTTTTCATACTATAGTAGTGGACTCTGCAACTAAAGGGGATTTTGAAGGTTTGGGAGGGTTTCCCTATTCTATAATACAATCCCATTTAGTGGAACATGGGCTCCCACGTGGACTATTGATGACTATTAGGCTTGTGCTTTTCGATGCGTACCTGCGGGGACAAGCCCTGCAAGCGGATTTGCTGATCCATCACTCTGAACCAACATCCGAGATTGGATGCCGAAAAACTTCCACCCCTAATGAATCATTGGACCCCCTGCGAACTGCAGGCTCGAATGACCCTGCGAACTTCGCAGGGGTTTGGATATCAAAAACCTTGACCTTCGAATTCACTGGCTGAGCGTTCTTGCTTCTGAGGGGCCAATCTTTTTGAGGTGCCAAAACCACCGGCGTTTGACCTCAAGACCGGCCGGCCTGGTCTTTTGCACGCTTCGTTCGGCCGAATCTATCGCCAAAGGGCCCAATGCCACACGAGCGTCCTTGACTTTGGCCCCGTCCATCTGAAGGCGGAAACCTGGCACTGGAGCAGTGCTCGCGAGGTTCATCGTGGGACACAAAGCAATGGCTTTAAATGTGATAGGCATGACATGATCTTCTCCATTGGGCACAAGAAGGCTTAGCTCCCAGGTTAGTTGGACTTAGTGACTTAGTCGGACTTCATTCTGAGACGCGTTCGTCACAATGTGTATATGTTGGTCGTGTATTTCGAAGCAGTTGGCGGGAGGTGCGCTTCTGGCCATCAAAATGATTCCACATCCCTCTGAGTACTATGTAAAAAAAAGGAAAATGGGCATCTCTAGACAAAGCTTGATCAACAGTTTGTAGAAAAGTAGAATTTATGTATCCACCTTCTCACATCCTGCCTGCACCCGCAAAGCAATGGGATAGCCACTTGCGCTGGCCCACGCGATAGTACCTGGCTGCACCACCAAGTTGCAAAGAACCCAGAGAGCTTTGTGTATCAAAGTAGGGAGACCTCCCAGGCAACCACCCCCCTGGAAGAGTACTCCCACAGTCCGGTCCGGACGACCATGGACCCCACCCTACGGTTCGGGTGGGTCGAGAGCGGAGGTCGAAACCGGTCGAAAACGGTCCATTCTCACCTTCCTTTGGTCGCCTGCGTTTCAACATGTTGAGCCTTTCGCTCGTCGGCCGCATGATCTTTTGTGGTGCGATGCGCGAGCCGCCGAGGTAAGCGCCGGAAAGAGAGACCCCGGGGGACACCCTGGGTCTGAACTCTGGAAGCTTGTGAGGTGGCCATAGATCATGCTAGTCTTCAGGAGTACATGAAGGAAATGGGTAGATCTACGGAATTTCAACCACAATGTTCTTCTCAGATTTGCTGATATCCGCGTTCAAAACATATCAAAACATCAGTTCGGACAAGACTGGGTGTGTTATCGTTATGGTGTGTTCAAACTACAAACAACCAATCAATGTTTTGGTGTGACTTGGTGACTCTTGGAAACCTTAGTGTGATTCTTGAGGACCCTGCAGAAACATCTCCAGCAACCAAAAACAGTAGAGACGTGGAGCTCCGCACCAAACGAGAAGGGGACGTTCCGATCTTCTCAGATGTAATCCATCCATGTCGAACGTCGGACATCCGAGCAGCTGCCAGTTCTGCATCCGAGCAGCTTGAAGAAGGCTCCCTCCACGTTGGGAATGTGGAGCTTCGTGAGCAGCGCATTGAAGGGAACAGCCTGAGGCCAGAGTTTTCGGGAGGGTGACGAAGTGGTGCAGCTTTCGCAGTGCGGATGAAGGGCAAAGGATCAATTACACTCCCTAGAGATAATCATGGAAGTGGAAAATCCGCCTGTTTGTAGAGGAAACTTGTCATCCAAGTGGCCATTGTCAGTCCACTTCCATGATACTTTCCATTATTATTTCAGTGAGTGTAGAACCCAAACAAGCGGAGAATGTGTTCTTAGAAGGAAACAGACTTGCAGTGGCAAGCCTCGCCGTATCGAGACTTAATAACCCAACTGGGTTGCGTTACCCTAATACTGGAGGGTTGCCACACCTACGTGCTGAGACCATGTCCAGACCACCTTGCAAGGGACAAAATCCAGTGTCCGAGGTCTGGCACTCCAATACAGTACATCCAACATCATCCAACCCCATCATCCACCCCATCTTCCCAGATCTGGAACCCAGCTACCCCATCTCCGCCCATCTATCCACCCTACTTGTGGCGCCCTCCAGAGCTGTTCGACTGAGTTGCTCCAGGTTTCAAGTCCATCAATGCCAAGCGCTTCTCATCCCGAGCGTTGCTGGTGACGAAGGAGATTTCCGCATCAGCTGGCGCGACGCCGCACGCGGAAAAAAACACGCGGAAAAGAAAAGAAAGCGGTCTCGCCACAGGTAGACTGCTTTCAGCGCGGGGGGGTTAGCACTTTTCCGTGTGAGCTGAGCTGGATGAGTGTGTCAAGCGGTTTGTCCATGAGATAGTGCACTCAAAATCCGCACCTTCCTGTCGCATCGTCGTCAGGGTTTGCTGGAGTCCATTTTCCACTCAGATGGGTCTGTTGGGTATTATGGTATCAACCAAACAGATCCGTCCAACGGACAGTTTTTTTCTATGCAGCGGCCACTCCGAAGAGGTACAAGGCGACTCTCAAACCTAAGAGGTACATGGCAGCGCAAACCTAAGAGGTACATGGGTCTTCGTTTGGGGCAAGTAAAAACACCGTCCTGTCCGCTGCGTCCATAGTGGATGCTGCGTCCATAGTATGCTGCGTCCATTTGGAGACTCCACCAGACCGTGGGTTGAGAGTAGATGGCGCAATCCCCGCAAAAGTGGTTTATATGATGGATCCCCATCTGTCTAAGACATCTTGGGGCTTGTGCCATCTTACTCAGAAACCACTGTAGCATACTGTAGCCCTTTCCCTATCAAAATATCACGACATATATAGAGAAGTCACCTGCAAACGAAAGACCAGCAAAGACCTATACCTACAACAACTGTGTCCGCATGATCCTTCTGAAGGCCTAACCACTTGTTGAATCACCTACTGCCACTGATGACTCCGCTCAAACATATTTCAGGAGGCCCTGATGCGATGAATTCTTGATCCGGACAAGTGGTCAAGTGGTTTGCAGATTCTGCTGGAAATCCACCAAACAGTCTGGAGATCAGCACCAAAATAAGCAAGAAGCAACTGTTCCTGTGGTGTTGCATGAAGTCCTGCCTCCCCAAATCTATGGAAAGACATGAAAAAGCCCTCTGCCAGCTACCGTGTACTGCTCCTATCATCGTCCCACATCTCTCCTCGCCTGCCAACAAGCAAGGGAAGAGGTCCGACGGGAAGCCACGCCTGGTCTGGGCATCAACCCAAACCCTTTCAACCGCAGCCTGCTGGGTATCAATTCTCAAACTACGTAGCACAAACACAAAAGCCGGGCACAAATATCGACCCGCCGGCTGGTGCTGGAAACACCAAAAGCATCCCAAAAGCCATATTTCAAGGTCTGACAAGATCCTTGACTGTATAGATCCAATGTGATAGATCAGTGTGCGCTAAGTTTCTTCAAGAGGCCCATTCACCATGGGCCGCAAGAAACCAAAGGCCACTCTCCACCGGACGGAAGCAAGTCCTTCACACCATCGTTTCGTTTGGAGTGAACAAGGCTTTGACCGAATGCATGGACTAGGCAGTCAAATCCAGCATCGCTTTTACACAAACACGCAAAGCACCCACAGCGAGCTGCATCAAACTATTAATGGACATGTTGTGACATGTTCTTCCCAAGCACACTGTAGTGAATTCCTCTGTTAGGGGTCTGCTCTGACAAGTCACAAGTTACGAGTAGTTCCATAGGCCTTCAAAGACCATCTTTTTCCTCGTGAAAGTCTCTGCCGTGCGACCCTGTCTGCCCTGCGACCCTCACGACCCTGGCGACCGAGAGGGCACTGCTCAACCCCCCAAGTCCCTGCCCAGTTTAAATGACCTTCACTTTGTTTGGAAGGCCCACCGGACCGAAGACTGCCCAGGCTGCCCCGACTGGATGGTGATCAACAGGTTGCCGGCCCAACCTGAGTCCCGCAGCGCGGTGCTTGGGGCCAGGTGTGACATGAGTGACTTTGGGTTGTGACGCATGCTCGTCATTTGCAATCCAAAGCCCCAAGAGATCCTTCTAAGATCCTACAAGATCCTACAATTGTTTCAGGTGTGATCCTCTGTGCCAGGCCCTGGCCGCCAGGAGCCAGGCCCCTGCCTCCAGGCCCCTGCCTCCAGGCCCCTGCCTCCAGGCCCCTGCCTGCTTCTGATCGAATGTGATGCTGGGCGACGTTCTTCAATCCATCGGCCAGGGCCTTAAAACCGCTCTTCGGCGCGTGGTGACCGCGGGCACCACACAAATGGCTAGATGAGTCGTGGGAGGTCCTCCAAACGGTCAGGGATGATCAACTACCATGCTGGGAAGTGGACATCTCAGAATTGGATTAAGGGAACATCCACAGGAAACCATTCTTTTTTGGTGATGACTAAGGGGGGGGTACTGTAGATGTTCCCTGAACCAAATCCATTTTGGGGGTCAAACTCGACCTTCAGAATGGCGGTGATATCACCAGACTGCTGTGACCTCCTTTGGAGACTCTGTGTGTGACATCTTGAGGGACGTGTCGGATGGCTCCCGCTTGATCTCAAGTGAGGACTTGGTCACGAACCGAAGGTGAGTCCGACTGTGAAGGACTCCGGGACTGTGAAGGACTCGGTCAAAGGAACTGCAATTGGGCCGTTTTTGAACAAAGAAGACCATCGAAACCGATGAGTGTGTGTCATCGAGTATCCGGTAATAGTCATGGACAAAGCGAGAAATCTGCAAACAGTCATATTTTGTTGATGAGTCACCCAGAATTATCAACGATCTCTCTACCTGATCTTCCCCCATGACCTTTTCAAAGGGGCCGGCCTATGCCGGCCCCTCCAGCAGGCCACCGTTGAACTCCCAAACACTTGATCCGGTGAAACACCATCGCTTCTGGTAGGGCCATCCATACCCACACCACCCCGCACCTTCCCCCCCCCGAAAAAGACCACTTGCCCTGGCCCACGGGGTCCCGGAAAAAAAAAGTTCAAAAACAACCGCCAAGTGCTGGATCGTCACCTTGGGCCACTGAAGCTGTGTATGAACTTCTTGGTATTGCTCCAACGCCTCCACCAAGTGCTGGATCGTCAACGCGCCTCCGAAGGTCAGACCTCAGAACGCCACCGACCCGTTCGGTTCGACACTGCCGGTGCCACACACGGAGCGCCTCTACCCTCCGCGCGCACGGAGGTTCGTCCTTCCTTCCGCGTTCGACAGTTTTTTTTAAACTAGCCAGGCGGTTGGGGGGGGGGTCAAGTCGGATGGTCATCGGCATGAAGGCTAGCTGCAAAAGGGTTCAAGAACTCACGTGGTCTGGTCATTCCGGTTGGACGGCTCCCTGTTTTCATGGTGATAGAATATGGATACCCCCTGGCACGACCCACTTTGGGACATCACCGCAGCCTTTGGTACAAGGGCTCCCAGCTTGCACCCTGAAAAAATGGACACCGAAATGACTCCAACAGCGGCGCGGAGGTACCGAGGTACCTGTGCCAGTCTTCTCCAAGACGTTGAGCTCAGTGACCTCAACAAAAATCAGAAAGCTCATCAGCCCATCGCAGAAAAGACATCGAGACCCAAGATAGGTCGACTGGTGGAGCTTGGAACATGTCCGAACCTCGAGGATCACGAGCTACAGCGGCGTTAGCTATTGAGACGTGGCCGGTTCAGCATGCTTTGTCAAGGAAAGAAATGGAAAGGATCAAACGTTACCGAAACGACTCGAAAACTATGAGAATCCATTCTTTGTCAAAAAGATGCTGGTGTGGGAGAACCAGACTCGCTGTGTTTCTTTGATATCCTGGAGCGTTTGCGTGGCTAAAGGGGCAGAATAGTTAAGCTAATCCGATCTGGCATTCATGCGAGCCATGCACATACGAAGAGCAAATCCATTTTAGAAAGCTTTATGTTTGATTCCTCTGCGGGAAGTATATATAGATGTACCTGTACACCTATACATGTCAAAGGGTGCCAAAAAAACATTGCTCAAGAGAATTATCATGAAACACCCCCACTCTAGAAACATCCTCCCATGGAAACTCTAGAGGGCCACAAACAACAAAGACTCCCCTCTGGAAGTCAAAACACCAATATATTTAATAGCCCGCATCCCGAAACAACCATCGTTTTACGAAGGGTTTTATGGGTTTTACACTTACAAAAGCAGATCGACCATTTTAAACATGGTCTTTGACTTCCAGGCAACCTGTATGACATCGTATGACAGCCCATTGAGGTCCAAACTGACAAAGCACCGGTGATCTCCAGTGTAGCAGACTGTAGCCACTTTTTGCGCTCTGACTCGTTTGCCTCTCCCAAGTTCAGGGAAGAAGTTGCCCTTGTTCAACAAACATGCAGGGACAGCCTGGAATTGAGGGTATCCAGAATGGATTGGTATTTTCCAATGTGTCCAATCCCCGCAGCACCGTGGAATATGTATGAGCAAACTGGCTCAGTTTAGCTGAACGATCCAAAAATAACTGTTTTGCTCGGCCGTTTTGGTCCATCGAACCTACGGCGGTCAGCCCCTGCGGTACGTACCCACCCCACATGTCGCTGTGAACGCGCAGTCGATGCATTCGATGCAGTCCGATGCATTCGATGCGGCTGAGAGACATTCCTCAGGGAAATCACATCATTGGCTCGACCGTTGGCCACCTGATCATGCGCTCGCGCCGCCCACAACGCAAAGCTCAATCTCGGGCAGTTTCGGAGCTACGTAAACCCTTGGATGCTGACCGGCTCAAAAGCTTATATTATATCTCAAGCTTCTTCAAGGTGACAAATGCTCTGTACGTCAGATCACATACCAGCAGCTTCAAACAGGTGTAGTCAACTCAAGCCCACATAAGCCCACATAATGTAGACTCTTGATTAAGAAAACCCTCCGTTTGAACTTAAAAACCTCAAGAGTCTACATTAAGCCTCCCCTGCGCAAAAGAAATCAACCATTTTGGCTCATACAAATGCATGATGCAACCAACTCAGTTGTACATGACGCAAACATGACGCGTTTGGGGGGGTATCAGCGCCCCAGCCAAACGCCGCAGCACCTCATAGGCTGCCTGGCGAATGCCCTTCGCTGTGTCGCCCAAGATGTACCTCGTGCAGTTCACCACCACTTAGAGAGGAAAAAAACATGGTCTTCCTTTATCTTCCTTTCGGGGTCATGTTCCACTTCGATCATTCCAGTGACCCCTATAAGTACAGTAAAAACAACAAACAAACACCATTTCCAAGGGTACTGCCACCAGTCAGAACCCGACGCACAAACAAAGTATGAAGTTTCCAAGTCAAGGGCCCATAGGCGCCCTAGGCATGTCTGTACTGGCTTCACACCCCTAGGGCTCCAAGTACCTCCTCATAAGGTATGACTGGACCCTTCAAACCCTCCCCAAACACCTTCTTAGAAGGTATTTGGAGCCCTAGGGCACTGTTTCACACTGTTTCACACTGTTTCACACCACCCAAACAATGAGCCAATCCCTGCACGCGTGCCTTCCAAGAGATTCCATTTGGATCGAACATGGTTGATGCTGCATGAGAAAATCTAAGAACACAAAATACGTGCAAACTGAGTATCATATCACTGGATATCACTGGTCTCCAATTTTTTTCCATTAGCGCAGCTTCAAGTATGAATTTCAGGAATACCGGTGGTTTTGATTTGCTTCACAGATGTTTTGTGTTCCGTCATGTTCAGTCTCTCATGCACTGAAGACTTGTTCATCCGTGGGTGTTCACCACTTCAATTCCTTCAGTTTCTCTTCTATCGTCAAGGACTCAATCCACGCGTCAACGCTCCCGATTGCACGCTGGATATCCAGGGTGCATGGCGCGGGGCTTGGACTTCTTGATTTCCAGGGCTTCCTGCGCGTGGTGTGAAGCCCTGGACTCGACTTGGTGAATTGAAGGGGGAGGAACCTCGACTTGGTGATGTGGAGAGTCTTAGTCCTACGGTGGGTCATACGAAACCACGACTGAGGTCAAAGACCAAGAATTTACTAGACCTTTGGACTTGTAGTAGGGCATGAATGAATGGAAATGTTGAAGCTGACACTTCCCAACGATTGATCAAGGTCGATCGTCTGTCCTCCAAGGACATGGGAGCATACCAGGCAAAGCCTTCTTTGAAGAAGGAGACCTGAGATATGCTGTGTCATCAATCGACAGCAATCCACTGTGCAGTCACCAGTGCCATGGTTCACAGGAGGAGACTAGTTCTGAGTCCACATATGGAGCATGAAACCAAAAATGATACGAACTATACCTTCAACTCACAGGTGACAGCTCTGGGGAAATGACTTCCAGATTTCCAGAACGACTCTTCCAGTGGTTTCCCATTCCAGGGAGTATAAGTTGTGAGAGGGACAAAAACAAACAAGAGGAGAGGCCTGAGAGGCATCCTGGATCGCCATCAGCCAAGCATCTGATTGGCGTGGCACATCCATCTTGGCATGCTCCGGCCCTCAGGTGCGGTTCCACCGAGACAACTGGGTTGTAAGGGGAGAAGGGTGGACCTCCCTGAGACAAGGTGCGATGGTTCTGCAAAGTGATCAGCTAATCTTTGCGTGCCAACTCCCATCTTTGGCCTCATGACAGGTGTCTTATGGCGTCTTGGATCGTATTTCCTTGCGGAGCTGTGTTGAGTTAAGGTCCCACTCAGCGTCACGGCATGGCCCGGCACGGGCACTACCCTTGTTGGCGTCCTAAGGTCTCTTCTTCAGCCAGTGCACCGCACTTGTTTCAAAGCCAAGGTTTGAATGATGTTGAATTCATCAAGTATCACCAACTGGTAGAATTTGCCATGACTGTTGACCGGGAAAGTGCCATCGTTCAATCCTGTGTCACCTGAACGGATCTTGGCCTAGTTTGACCCAGATCCACCTACGCCGCAAACAACATGTTGCTACTTGCCCAGGGCGTGCAGCATGCAGGGACATCAGCTTTGAGCCAGGTGTTCAACAACCAAAGGTCTGGTGAGTCTGTGTGACCCCCAAAACTGACTCTAAATTACAGGTCCCATATCACGATGTCATGTATTGGAACTGATTCCATCTATTTGGGGACTACCGGGACTATACTTCATTAGTGACCCTGCCTTGTGGTTTGTTGTTTCTTGGCCACAAAGACGACAGGGTTCTCAGCCAGCCAGCATCTTGCAAGACTCAGGAGTGCATGAAAGTACCCTTAGTCGCCTATCTCTTTTTTTGGTCTGCCCAGTCCAAAACTCGACCAACCGAAGACCCGCAAAAAAAAACAATATTATCCCTCACACAATGCGTCCAACCATCTTCATCTTCCAGTTAGACCAACCCAATTCACCCAATCCTCACCTAATATGTTTCACCTCACCATCTTCGCCTGAAACAAGAACAAGTCTCTACCTGACCATGCCTCCACACCTGGTTGGTTGCCCTAGCTTCATTGACCCTCCCGTCCATTGACACTCCCTACAAATCCCATCGGATCCCGCCCCGCGCATGGCAGCTTTCCACCCAGCGGCCACTGAGCTTGTCGCACAAATCGGCGTCGTGCGCGCCGCACTTTTCCGCCAGCTGCTGCGCTTCAGGTGAGGCATCGGAGCAGAACGACTCGGACGCCTGCCACCGCGTCGGCGTGGGCGGCAGGGCCATCGCAGGCCAGGTGAGCAAGCTTGGTGCCCGAAGGTGCTGGGTGTTTTAGTCAAAGTCTGGCAGGCTTTAGTCAATCTGAACCCATTCTGTGGCTTTGGGATGCTTTTTGGAAGCTTCTATGGTCATTGTAAAGAGGGCAAACAATAGCGACTGACGTCGTCACTATAGAGGTGACGTAGTTCAATCGTTCGGTTCTCACCCTGGCATCACCGGCTGATGAACTCACCAGCCGGTGGCAAGGCCAGGGTGGCTGGAATCCGACCCGTCAGTCTCCTCTGGAACAAGGTGTGGGGGAAACGCCTCGTGCTATCCCTAGGGCTCCAGTCGTACCTTCTATTGAAGGTGGGACTGGGGGGCCCGGGGGCCAGGAGGGTCCAGTCATACCGAACCTGAGGAGGTACGACCGGAGCCCTAGGGTTCATCAAGTTGCAATTCATAGAGAACATCCTGGAACTTCCTGCAGTATCTGCAGTTCTCTTTTGGTTCGTGCAGCATTGTGCCATCGCCGGCGTTCCACGGACCTCCACCTTCCCATACATCAAGCACAACATAGGTCAGAACCAGTATGGACGGGACCAACAGATATCGAAAAGGCTCTTGAGAGGGCCACAGAAATCTATATACAGTCACAGTCTCAGTCTCACTCTCCACAGTCTGCGACAAAAAACATTCCAAGTGGGACCCGACCTCACAACCATAGACATGCCCCAAGCCCTTTCCCACCGACGTCACTGACAACATAGAACTTGACATATCTTAATTTCCCACCACATTCATAACATCACCACATAGTTCACAACCAATACGGCCAGTACCAACACAAATAGAGGACGACGCCTGAAATCAGTGATATACCTGATGAAAGTGTATACTGTCCAAGGGCTCCAACAAGAGGGCTGGAAAGAAGGGCCGAGTACATGGCTGTTTGATGCGTTGCACTGCAGTACATCCGCGACCCAGGGGTCGCAGTTGTTCCCTTTACTGATTCCCCAAACTCACAGATTCCTCCAGATTCAGCTATGATAAATGAGTAGATCAGTAGATCCCATCTGCCAGGAGCGTCACCTTTATCAGTGACCGAAGGACCCAGAGGTAACCCGCGGCCGGCGGCGGACCCGCGGCCACCTGGCCTGGACGAGGTTTCGGTAGCCGGTACAGCGGCAAATGTTCCCGTCATAGTTCTTCATGGATTCTTCAGCTGTGGGCTTTCCACCAGATTTCAAGAGCGCATAGGTATTCATCACCTCACGAAGTAGTCAAAAAAACAGAGATGCCCGGAAGACGATTGAGTGGAGGACCATGGATAAACCTTTGGCTGAGGGATCCAGAATACGATGTACTGGCTTTACTGCACGTACTGGAGAAGAAAGAACTGACGATTCAGAAATCAACTCCCCTGGTGACTAAAAAGAGAGACGGTTTATGAATAGAGACGATGTTGATCAAGGTTCAAATCAAAGGGCCATCTTCCCAGTCATTGTGGGTCACTGAACATGCCAACAAACTCCTCTTTGCGCCTCTTTTGGCCGAACAAAGACATGTTTGGACATCTTTGGTTTACTAATTATATAGTAATTATCGATATATAATTATAGAATAGCAGTAAGACTTGCAATAAATCAAAAACCCTGCTTCGACCTGCTCCGTGTCTTTCAGTCTTGTTCTCTCCAGTCCAATGAGTCGTTAGGCCCACACACACACACACACCACAGTGACGCTCTGCGCAAAGTGGATTGGACGCAAGTGACACACAAATCTGGAGCCGTGTGTTTTTCTGTGGTGTGAGGAGGACAGATCTCCGCTCCGGACTGTAGAGCAGCGTTTTTGACTCATAGACTCATCTTTCTGAGCTTGTTTTGTGGGCCAATCAAAAGGCCGTGCCGGGTGGGTTGTGCAGTGCTGCCAGGGTACCATGCCAGGAGTGCAAAAACCACACTGCATGCCATGGTTCTCAGCCTCAAAAACAGAAAAACGCAAGTTGTGAGCGGATTGGATGTTCCGTCAACCTGGTTGCATCGGCAACGAAGATCGACCCCAAACATGACCTTGTTCCACCTTCGAATGTGATTTATGATCCTAACACCTGTGAACCACTCACAGGGGCTAAAAGTGGAGTCAAAGGACACTTCTCACATCTTTTACAGAAGATCTCAGCTGCTCACTACCACTCCTGCGAGTTTGATTTCAAGACTCTGCAATCATATCCTCCGCACTCTTCCCACCCGCAAGTCACCATGGAAGGTGCCAACAAGTTCATAAGAAGCATCCAAATGCGAATCATGTCCAACCAAATCATGTGATCCCTGTAATTACCTCTCAGCATCTCTCAGCAGTTCTGCTTTTGCCACAGAACACATCATGTCCCATAAGGATAGGTTGGGAACCAGCAGTCTTCCAAATCTATGTTTCTTCTAATCTCCAGTTAGCTCCCACCCCCCCTTGACTACCCCACATCTTTCAGATTCCAACATTCCAAATCGTTCTTGTCCAAAAAATCTTCGTCGTCTCGACCTCGTGATCACCGAGCACCTTCCCGTCACCGAGCAGCGATGCGCTTCTGCACCTGATGCAAACATCTTCGCTCTGAGCCGACGCCCTCGACCGTCGTCACCGAGAGCCCATGGCAGGCCACCAGCGGCTTTAAACCTCGAGGCGACGCCGGAAGCGGTGCGCGGGGCCGGTTGGTCTTTTTCCCGTGTGGGGAGGGGGATGTCCTGGGGAAGGTGGAGAAGGTGCCAGGGTGGTTGGGTCAGGTGATGGTTGAGAAGAATTAGACATGGAGGAGAATAGGGCTTTGAAAGGGAGGTGAGATGTGTATGTAACAAGCTTTACGCAGGTCCGCATCTCAAGAGGTAGCCAAACCGCTAGCTTTTTAACAACACAGGTGGAATTGGGGCGTTTGCTTACCATCGAGACAAATGCAAGGGGCCAGCAAAACGCCAAAACAGGGGAGAACCCGACGAGACCAAACGAGCCGCCAGACTATGGAAAAGACTGCCATGGCACAGGAGCGCCATGCTAAATTTAAAGGGAGATCTAAAAGCAAGAGACTAGGAGCAAGGACGCTACTAGGGGCTCCTGGCCTTACTCTAGGAACAAGAAGCTACTAGGTGCAACCCTTGTGTTGCAGTCAATGACCTGCCCCTACCATCTCTGAAGACTCCCCAGCCAGGAGCACAGTAAAGCATCCACCCCCCAAAAAAAAGCCATGGACACCCACGTGTTTGTCCACCAAAACCGCTTACGCATGTCGCTTCTGGTCCCAGCATCAGCTGTTCACGGAGCGATACACCCAGCGCTTGTTGGCCAGGTCGTACTCCTGAATGGCCACCTTAGCGACACCGTTCGGGCCTCCAGGCGGACGTGTTTCGTACCCAATATGGCAATGATAGTTTTTCGGCACGTCAACTCGTAGAGTCGTAGAGGTCACGAGTTGAAGACTCATATGCCACCCTTGTTGATGAGTCTCTGTTGTGCGTTGTCTGATGCCCCGGTCCTTGGTTGGGCCAGGCCAGGTTTTCAGCTGAAGCTTCCAGCTTCCTGCACCCAGCGTCACTCGTTGCGGTGGCGGAACATCCTCGCGGAACGTCGGGAGCCCTGAGTTCAACGGCTGCTATGTGGCACACACCTGCAGCTCCAGGGGAGGAGCGCTACTCCATGAATTCTTGCACCGCTCCTTGAGGCTCCCACAACACAAGCTCCACAGCCGCCCTGCAGGCAACTCCTGCACGTGCGGCTCACGTAGAGAGCGCCGCTGGGCTCGAGCCCTGCTGTGCCCAAACAGATCCTGTTGAAGTGCTTGTGAAGGGGTCAAGCATCATCAAGATGGGGTGTTGTCTCTCTGGGTCAAGATCCCACCAGAATGTGAGGTGGGTGAAACACACAGAACCGAGCCTAACAAATTGGACACCCATCAACATCAACCCGTCGATCCAGCTGTCTCCACGAGGCAAGCTGCAGTAGCTACAACATGTTAGCGAGGGCTTTGTGTATGAGTGATGAGGTTCTTTCATTGACATCAGCAAGTGCCACAGGTTCAGAGATCAGACCTACCTGGAGTCTCCATCTAGCTGAAACAAACAAGTTCACCATCGGAGATTCCCATCTTACTCGCACCAACATGAAGGCAACGTGTCCAAAGTTAGATCCTCAAGAGGCATCTCAAGCATCCTAATGTCCACCTTCCTTGAAGATGACACCCTGCCAATGAAACAGCAGGAACCCTTTAAGGTCCTTTAGGGATCTCAGGAGTCCATTTAGTGTTCTTAAGACATAACATAACAATACAATACAATACATATGTAACATAACATAACATAACATATGTTGTAAACTGAACAATAAACTGAACAATCTTTAACTTCGGGGTCCATTTAAGTTTGAACCATGAACAAGCATCACCCCCACATCGCCAGCGAATCGCCCAGCGCATCACCCTCCTCTTGGTTCCAGTCAAGCCCTGCAGCGGCGACGTGTCGGCGAATGTAACAAGAAGCGAACGGGGCTCCTCCTGATTTGTTCCTTGGGGAAAACAAACAACAACATCACATTGATCTGAAAACTTACCAACCCTCACCCTCCAACAGGTCCTTCCTTTTTGGCCCATGGCTTTTCGAGACTCAACAGTGGCAGGGTATTGGCTTTGTGGGTGCAGTGCGTACAGTACATCGCAGCTGTGTCATGGCACGACTCACACGACTTGCTCCAGGCTCTTTGTGTCGGTGGGTGACTCGCTATCACCGTACATGGACTGGTCGGGTGAACACATGGTGGGCGGGTTGAACGACCCATGTAGACTGAACGTCTCTTTTTGATTCGCCGAACAAATCGCTCATGTGATCTCGATATCGGGTCTACATCAAGTGCAGGGGTCAGTGGTTCGAACAAAAAGTACTTCTTAGCTAACGCTTCAAAGATCAGTTCATCGCAACATCATGAACTGTTTTGATTGAAAATGAGGCTGAGCTTTGGTGTGGGATTCAAGTTGGGATTCCACTTAAAATCACCAAGTCACAAAACAAATCGCTACGTAACTGTTTGGCCAACTTTGCAGCAACAAGACTTTTACAGTAAGCACCTTCCAACAAAAACCCACTGCAAATCCCATAATGTCCACATTGTGTCCACCCAACGGATTCTATATATTCCAGCCAACACGTTCTTTTCCGGTTACCTCACCTACCTCCTCCGCTGCCCACGGCTGAGTTTTCAGCCTTGGAGTCGCGCAGGAACTCGATGAGCATCTGTCGGGGATCGGGTTCATGGACCTTCACCAGCTCGCCGTTCAAGAAGAACTGCAGCGGGTCCTGTTTTTTTCCCAAACGAGTAAATGGTTCCAACGGAGTAAAGCTGCAACATGCTGCAACTGGTTCATGTTTGGCAATTCCTATATGAGCACAACAATTGACATCAGTTTGAGAAGCAGTGATTGAGAAGCCCTGGATCTGTATTCTTCATTCGAGTCACCACCGGTCGAGCCCTTTCCCAACTGGCTCGCCAGTTCCGGCCGACGGACCCTCGGTCCGGCCGGTCCGCTCCGGACCCGGACCCTCGGTGCGGTGCGAACGGGGTCGTGTTTCGGTGCGGGCCACTGGTGGAAGGTCACAAATGAATCAACCAGAATAAGGACGTGATATAGGAGACACCAATCCAACCAAACAGATTTTCCTGAGTATATATATTATAAATATGATTCTGATTCTGAAGACTGACGGACGACTCCGAAAGGAAGTCGACATCCATGTCGAAGGAGGTCAAAGTTCACATGCTTTGGAGGGAGGATGCTTGGGATGCTTGCATCCCTAAAATTGCTCTACACTCCCTGGAGTCATCAGGGAAGTGGATGGCCTGTGGCCCGTTGGATGACCATGTTTTCTACAAAGCATTGGTGGTCCACTTCGATGACTTCAAGGAGTGCACGAAGAGTGGACCGGGACCCCCCAAACCCAACTCCAGTGAGGCGGGCGAATGGAGGTGCGATCCAAAGAACTTCAGAGTAAAACTGTCACAGTAAAAAGGACCAGGTTGATCCAAGTTGTATATGTAAGAGGAACATGATCAACCTTTTGGGTTGACCACTCTCTTTGACCTGTAGTTAGTGATTGAACTTGGGCACGACTACATCCGCAAATTCACGTGATTCCTAAAGCTAGCTGCGGAAAAGACATGCTTTGGCATGAGGAAGTCCTCCCTCCAAAGAGGAAGTCCTCTCACCCTCCAGAGGGATGTCCCCGGAATCAAGGCAAGTCGTGTTTTCCTCCTAAACCACGAGGTGAGGGAAAACCACACATCTAAGCCCCAACAAAATCCAGGGGCTCTCAGAAAATACCAACATCCACCCACCCAAAGCCGTGGATGAGGAATTTGGAACCACCAGGCCCGAATGAAAAAAGGGTCCTTTCGCTCCGGGGGCGCGAACGACATTGGTAGCACACCAAAATTAAAAAACGCAGGGTGCCCAACTCAGCCGCGCCAAGGACGCTTGAGCCAAAATTGCTGGGACTGGAAAAAGCATCTTCTAAAGCTTCGAAGAAGCATCATAAGCAGGATCATCCTCATCCTCATCATCCACCTCCTCTTCATCATTAATTATTATGTTCTTTGTTCCTTTGGTTTCTTTTCCTTCTTCTTTTACAAAATCTTCTTCTTCTTCTTCTTCTTCGTCTTCTTCTTCTTCTTCTGCGTATTCATTTGCGACATGTGTAAGAAAGACTCATTGGCAAAGGGGTGTGTGTGCATATATAGAGATATTTATGGCACACAGGCGCCAATCGGGTATATTATATGGTCGAAATAAGAAGAAAACGGAAACAACCATAGCTCCTCTTCATGGATCCCCCAGAAACCTCACTTGACTAGGGTTAAAACCTGTGTGTAACTCCTGTTTCTTGTAGTGTGAACATGTGTGAACAGTATCCTTTCTCCATCGCCTGCTTTGGATGCGCAGTGTGTTGAAAAATGAACTGCAGCACGGCGCGCCATCCACTTCATTGAAACACACACAAGAAAAACTCACAGAAGCAAACAAAGACTGTTTCGACTATATAGAGGATGCTGTTAGCTTCACCATGTAAAAAAAAAAAACATGCAGAAAACAAACAAACAAAGCACAACTGGACCTCGGCGCTTGACACCTTCACAACCCATCTGTGCTTCAGAAATCCTCCGGCGCCATCTTTTTTTCTGACTCCACGGCCTCCAGGTGCTTCAACCTGCGAGTGAAGAATCGGCCCCTTTTCGGACATGGAAGAACTACAAGCCTCCAAACTTGAACCAAAAAGCAAACAAAACACATTTACTTCTCAGATGAACAAGTGAGTACAAAAAAACTGTTTCCAACCGTTGATTTGCAATGCACAGTGTTACATCGATTCAATCAAACTCATGTGCACTGACATTGTCACTCCACCATTGGCCGAACTCCACCTGTGGAACCAGCGCGCTTGTCGCTGCCAATCCTGCAGTCGCTGTGACGGACCAGTGGCTGGGACGGACTGGACGTCCATGCCACCTGTATGCAAAGAAGGAGTTTGTTTTTTTTGGGGGAGGGAGTTGTTAACATTAACCAGTGCAATGGGGGGAGTTGTTAACAACTGCTCCGTGAATGGGGGGATGTTTTCTTTTTGGTTTAACATGTGTTCCTTTTGTTTTCCTCCGGCTCTCTTTCTCTGCATGCTGCATCCTGTTTCTGATCAGCAGCTCTAGCACTACAGGTTTCGTATACTATCACATACTGCAACCTTTTTCACTCTCACAACTTGAAACTTCAAAAGCCCGCTTCCAAGGATCAAAGAATTGCTCTATCTTGCCTTTCTATAAAAGCCTGGCTTGATCATCCCAAAAACCTAAAAAATAAAAACACATTTCTTAGGCTTTTGCCACTGCTTTTGCCCAAGGCCCAAACCAAATGCCTCACCTGTTGAGTCTTCGGTCCAACCGCCTTCGGTCACACCGCCCCACCTTGGCGACTGCACGAGACACGACTCCTCCGCCTCAGTGGACTGGAGAAGAACCAGGTGTGCAGAAGGCCGTGTGTGCTCTGGTACAGGTAAGGCCTTATTCGCACATGTGACGACAACAACAACAACAACAACGGTCGGAACTTAAAACACATAGCAAGTACTACACTAATACATATGACAGTATTCTCAAGCATTCCATCGTAGTTTACATCATGTTAAGTACTACATGGAATACAACAACAGAAGGGGTGCTCCTGGAGAGGCACTGTGAGGCCATTTTTCTGTGTATTGATACTTACATCTTGATAAAATGGATCTGGGGACATCCTATGGTCAACCAATGCCAGTACTATCCTCGCGCTTCACTTCGCCGAGCTGCTTCCCGAGCTACTTGCGCCCTGTAAATGCATGGCGCGACTCTCGAGTCCTCCCAAAGCAGTAGAGCCTCGGTGGAGCAAAAGCAGTGAAGCCTCACGAGTGGCATTGCACACACGGAGGGTCCGGCATCCTTCATACCCGAAAAAAACACCCTCAAAATTATATCTTAGGCCGACCGACCATCAGCTATGTCGTTCCATCAACTTGGATTTGCTTATCGACCGGGAAAACAATATACATAATATATGTAGTATATACATATATACAGAATACGATAGTATACGTATTCAACCGAAGGGAGGATTCACCCATAGGGAAAATATTGGAAAAAGACACATGACCAAACCAAGCTAAACAAACCTGGAGTGACACAAAAATACGAACATAGTCAGACCCCTTGTCCCTTTTCCCCCCCCCCCCCCCAACCCCCACCCCCCCCCCTTGGCACCTCTCTCCCGCCAAAGCTTGCCATCCACCTGTCAGGATCCGCAGGGATTCGCAGGGATGCTTCTGGCACCATAAGTACTCATCCTCTTGTGACACATGATAAGACATCCAACCCAATAGCGATGGCCCCCAACCTCCCGATGGCCTCCCGATGGCCTCCAACATACTCATTCTTTTCTGGTAGATGATAAGAAATCTGCCAAACGTGGAGATATAGGGTGTCGGATGTCTTTTTGTTTAAAGTCTTCCGAGAGAATGGTCTCTCAAACAAGAGAGGTGAAGTATTTGAATGGGGACGAGGGCATTACAACTTAAAAGGGCTGTTTAACTGATTGGAAATTTCTGACCACAGGTACTCCAATCAACTTTCAGCCTATAAACACCAACGTCAACCGTTCGTTCTATCACAATGTAATGGAACAGTGCCATCTGTTTGAGAACTTCTGCATTGCTATGCTGCTACTATATATATATATATATATAATATATATGTGTATGTATTTGTGACAATGACGTTGTAGATCTTTGTAGCGCCTCTTCTCGTCCTTTGGGAGAAAACCTCTAGGCCCAGCTTTGGGCTTGAAGGAAATCCCCCGGCTTTGACCCACATGAGGCGTCCCCATTTAGGGCCACGAAGCAACCAGATCTACCAAGTTCTTACGCAATCTTTAACGTTGAATCAGACCTTTGCCACCTTTTACCACTATGCATGTTGAAGTTGTGATGCCAACCAATCCACCATCTGCCAACCAACTAACTCAAGCCAAACCAACCAACTCAAGAACCATCTAGCCAACCAACCGATTGGCCAACCCGCGTCCCTTCCCACCCATCCAGGGAATCCATCCGATTTGGACTGCTCGCCTCGTTTCGTCGTGTGGCGTCCTCCGCAGCCAAGACGCAAAGCCTCAACCAGAGATGAACATTTTAATATATATGTTGAAATATATTATATATTTATTTATTAATAGGTATATAATTAATCAACCCTCGGGACTGAAATACTAATATGTAATTTAGACTGATTTTAGACAGTTGATGAATAAAACCCTCCAGGCCTGGAGAAGTAAAACCATTCCGGAGACGGACAAGTTTTATAGATCAAGATTTTACCTGACCTACACATTCACACCCTTTTCAACCAGTGTAGGAGCCAATATGCCAGTTCCATGGAGCGTGTGAGTCTGGTTAAACAGCTTCAAGTTGTGAACAGGGTGGCCTGCATGACACATTCAGGTCTGCACAGTCCAGGTCCGTCGGGCCCTCCGGATGAGGCGCCGAGCTTGAGAACTTGGTACAAACAAGCACCGTAGGCGCCCTGGAAACGTGCCTGGGGACAGCGGGTCGGGGTCGGTCGACAGCCTTTCGGATTGGACGACCCGGCAAACCGCAGACCAGCGGCAGACCGCTGGCCGGTGTAGGGAGGAGAGTGCCGTGTTTTGTTCGAAACGTGTTTCACAGAAAGGTGCATGGTTTCAGGGTCCGTCCCCAAAAAAAGAGTTTGTTAAATTTATCTTTCATGGATAGATCAAAGATGATCAAAGTCCCTGACACGTACCTCTGTAAAGTGTGGAACAACTCGCACTTAAGGGGGCATAAGAAACACATTTAAACAACATACCATAAAGACAAACACAATAAATACATTGCACACAATCAGTAAAGTCCATCAATGCGCATACACAAGCGTATGCATGACAACACCAATGTAAAGCATCGCAAGTGACCTTTGCAAAATCAAGAAGAGAACCGACATGTTGAAGACAGTGGCACCCGTTTATATTTCGCGCGACCACTCTGGTCCAAACATGTCTGAACTGGGTGAGGAGGGCAAAGTCATGCAAAACGGGTGTAAAATTCCAAGCAAGTATAAAGATGCATGCACATTTTCCATCAAGCTAAGATCACAAGTGACCAGGGATCTGTCAGAAAGCTGCTTCTGAAGATCCTGGTAGAAGGTTTTCATGCTAGCACTCCATGAATCAAGGACAACCTGGTTGGTCCAGAAAACTCAAAATGAACACTTGCAGCCAAAATGGTGCAACACACCAAAGACACACAAAACAACATGATGATACGGGAAACAAAACACAAAAACACAGAAAAGACAGGGCTCTTAAAGAGGTGCTTGTTTACTGTTTGAGAGTTGAAATAAAATAAGTACCACTTGTGAAATTTGCGTACCAAACCTTGGGTTTATACATCATGAGTATCACTTATCAAATTTGAGTAAGAACCTTAGGTTTATACACCTTTTGTCAACCTTTGGTGGTACAGGCAGGCTGATTAACTAATGTCGAAACCGCTGCCATGACACACCAGATCAGCTACCCAAGAAAGCTTCATTTGCAAAGAACTACCCTCATGTTCTGTTTGCCTGCTTTGCGTTGGCCTCCTCGAAAAAAAAAAGAAAACATGATGTTCTTGGACAATGTTTGATTCACACGGAAGGACCCATGTTGTAGATAAACCGTTCATATCTCCATGACTGGCTGAAGGTCAATACCGGGTGTTCAAGCAAAGGTTCGCATCATCTCGCGACAAAGGTCAGGGTGACCAGGGTCTGGTTGGTAAACCACCATTCACGAACGAATAATCTGAGTCAGCGGGTTCAATATGGTTCAATCATCACAAGTATAAATGTAAAAGTTAAACATCGAAAAACAAAATATATTTTAGTTAAATATATATATATATATGGTTATGATTGTTTATGCTTTATGGTCTGGTCAAACATTACTGGGTGCTTTCAACTCACTTGAACATATTCCCAAGTAATGTTTCAATCACCACCCAGGAGTTCTCACACGATCCTTTGCTTTTTGTTGATCTTCCCCACCCTGCGGTTGTGCTGGGGTTCCTGGTGTTGGACGATAGCGGCTGAAGTGGATTTCTTCATCACAACCTCTTGGGATCCTCCTCTCCTCCTCACCAAAAAAACACATCTCAACCGTCACCACCCCCATAATATAGACTTCACATGAAAATCATGAAAGGGTTCTACATCAATCGTGAAAGGGTTCTTCATCAATCGCGATTGATGAAACATGTTTCATCATGAACATCATGAACTGTTGAAACTTGGTGAACAATCAAGTTTCTACATCCAGACTCCACACCCATCAGACTCTAGACTCCACATCAAAATCATGAACGGTTTTTTTCGGCCCCACGGGTGGGCGCCTCCTCGGGGCGCTCGGCCACTGCCTCCAGAAACTGTTTGAGGCAACACAAAGGAGACAAGAAATTGATGGTCTCCAAAGACTAGTGGAGATTGAACATGATGGTGTTTGTGATTGTCACATCTCCTGAAAGAATGGACAACAAAAAGCTTTAGAAGTCTGCTAAGTCCGGATGCAATTCCTCTAGAGACCAGTGGGGGGTCACATCTAATTATGTTCCATGTTGGGACCATCTTGGGTCTATCCTCCCCCCATCCACTGGATGTGGGAGTCTAGTCTATTGGTCCTCTTCTTCCATTTGGGTGAGTCTCCCTATTCTGATACACACCCAGCTCCAGCCAGCTCGACTACAGTTTTTGTGTTTACTTCATGATGGGATATGATGGGGAAGTCTTGTTTGACAGTTCTACCATGTTTTACCCACATCCATCTCCATGTCTTACCCACATCTCAGCTCCTTCGGATGGTTGAGGGGACTGGCGAGCCAAGCCAAAGGAGTGCTACGTTGAGAGCTTGGCGAATACGGTTTCAGAGGTTCGATGGCACAGACCCAAAGATGTCCTAGACAGATGATGGGGGTCCATATAAACCACCGACATTGGGGTCTGTGCCATTGGTCCTCTCAATCCACTATATGCATTTCAAAAATTAACCATATAGCAAATAGCAAATCATGTATATAGTTCCTGGAAAAATGTTGTTGCAAGGGTTCGCTCAAAGCAGCTTCAACAAAAACCTTGAACTTTGTCATGCCCAACTGCGACACGGCCTCCCGTGATGCAGCCAGAAGTACTTGCCAAGCATCCTGGAGGTACATGGGTTCCAACATGTCAGCATCAAGTGTTAGAACATGCACATTTGTGGAGTGACTGTACCATTTGTTGAAAAAAAAAGTCCATCCGGCATACTCACCCTACGAAAAGTCTTGACCAATGATTCTATTGCCAAAGGAGTGAACAACCTCTAAATGTGTAAATCCGCAAGCGGAACCGGGCGGTTTGATCCATGTACTAGATTGTACTAGTAAGATCCTTGAAATCGGCATCAGGTCCACACGCTGTCCAAACCAAGTGTCAGTCTAAACCATTGTCTTCCTCAACGACTCAATGGATATCGTTCCAGTGGTGACTGGGGCTGCTGTTGACATCGGATCTTCCCTGGTTTTTAGAAGCCTCAGAGCTCCCTGATATGCCCTGATATCCATTGGTTATACCCTGAACTGAACTGCTATACCACGCTATAAGCCCTATCTGCCTCACTTCACGCCTCCCAGAGGCTGCAGCGACGTAAGGACTTCGCCAACAGCAGCTGTACCTCGTCCGGGACGCCGCTCGGACGAAGGCCGATCGGGCCGACCGGAGCGATCGGAGCATCCGTGACGAGGGGGTGTGAAGGGCTGTGGGCTTGTGGACATTGAAATCGTCTAGTTTTTGCTTTCGTGTCGACCTACTACGACATGGAAGCAGGGCTTTTCAAAAAAAGGGGATGGGAAGTGGTAGGTTGAAACTGGCCGGTTTTGTCCTCTCTAGGTGTTCCTAGCCCAAAGCCGTAGCCGTGGAAAAAAAAGGAAAACGGGAAGCTCAGAGCACCCTAAGTTCAGAAGCCCAGAAACTTGAGCATTCCTTCAGCATTGGCGTGCCGCGCTCTGCTCCAACTCTTTTTACTCAGGTGACCCTGGAAAGTGCAGGTCCGCTGTCTCAACCAGCACCCAACTCTACAGGTCTCCTCTGATGGCTGAAATGGAGACTTCAAGGTGACAGGTGGTGACCATTGGGTGGTGAAGCATGGAAAACTTGCTCGGACTTGTTACAAACATCGGCAGCTGTTACCAACAACCAAGAACACCTTTTTTTCCAGAGAGCAGATCAGTGCTTCAATGGGCCTCATGGTCCTGGGAAAATAAAAGTTCCTGAGTGCCCGATGGATGTCATCCAGGTCATCCAGGTCATGCAGGTCCATACTGTCAATACGGTCCTCGGCACAACAAGACATACAGGGAGGTAGTATCCTCCACATCCAGGCATCCAGCCACAATCCAACTGCGATCCTGTACACTCGGAATGTGGACCGGGGCCGGTCACTTTGGGAGTGTCTATCGAAGAGGTGAACAGGCCTTGGTTGCATTATTGCAAACTCAAGTCCTTCCTCTGGGTCGTCCGGATCCACTGAGAAGAAGCTGTGCTGCAGAGCCTCAAACAACTGCGGTCATCATGGGTCCAAAAGAACAAACCATATGTCTTTAAATCGCCCCCCTTTATGATAAAGAGGCACAAATCATCACAAATTATTTATCAACATGTCAAAGGATTTCTTTTCTACCATTCTACCAACCGCATGGCCTCCCAGGCTCGAGCTCGTTCGAAGCGGCTCCATGAGGTCATATGCTTAACAAGATCAGCTCCGTGCCTCACTTCTCTTGAAAGAGTATATACTGTAACATAACATCTACAAAGCTGGCTTTGGGAAAATGAGAACAATGCAACAGATTGAAAACATCGTTGCAGATACACAAAGCACAGCTGCAATCAAATACAGGTGGCTTGGCTCACAGGCATTATATAATTAAATACGGCCAAGGAATTCACCGAGTCACTTGTAAAACATGGTTCCCTTAAGCTTGCCATACATTCGCAAACCATCCAATGCCTCTTGCATGTTCCCTCGGCGACCACGCAAGTTCTCATGGAATTGTTTGCGCAGATTGACCCGGAAGAGCAGATTGACCCGGTCGCGACTGCGACGGCCATATTCACTATGACTGCGACGGCCATATTCACTATGACTATGATAGAAAAGTCGAGTATGTTCATCCATTCCAAGCAGTAACTCAGCTAGGATAATGCCTGCACCATACACATCCCGCCGATGTCCGTACAAGACATTGTGGCCATGCTTGCTTCGGCCGGTTTGAGGTATCAACACTTCTGGAGCACTGTGGTAGGGGTTGGATCGGTAGCACACCTCCAAGTCATTGCCATACTCTGAATTGCCCATGTCAACAAGTTCGTGTTCGTTCACAGCTGACTCAAAGTCAATCAAGGTGAGCTTTCCGTCAGCATAAAGCACATTCTCGCGCTTGATATTGCAGTGAACAATTTCACGAAGGTGTAGAGCATCAAGCACCTGAAGCAACTGCTTCATGTACAAGTGAATGTCCTGTGGCTCTTTGGGTGAATGGTTGCCGTCTATGTATGGAAAGTACAAACTACGCAGCTGGTAGGTGTCGCACCCAGGAAACCACTTGGGTGAGCACTTGGACCAAGCCAAAACTGGAACCACTCCCTCGACCTTTGACAAGGACTTGATGATTGCGGCCTCATAGAGGAGTTGGTCTTGAAGACATGAATGTCGTCGAAATCGATGCATGGTCTGCGTCAGGTATGTCTTCCTGACGACTTCACCGAAGCGGCTGGTCTTCACCACAGATACATCAATGGTCCTTTCACGGTCGCGGTGCAAGGTTTTGACGTAGTCAACCTCACTTTCCTCCATCTTGGCACATAGGAAATCCAATTCCACCACTTGGTCTCCGACCACAACCTTGCGATGTTAAATCACAAGTGTAAGAGCAAAAATAGTATACAATACAAATCCAGCTAGGACAAACCCTTTGGGGCATTCTGAAATCCACTATCAAGAAACCTTCCGCCCAGGGCCTTCCAGCTCAAAGTGACCTTCCAAAGCTCGTTGGAGGAGCTCTGCTTTGGCTGAGGCTTTCTCATCTAGGCCATATGGTCTCAGGACGAGCTTGCCTCCTTTCAATGGTTTGGATGCTAAGTCCGATTTGGTCTGATGTATCTTGTCCACCTCTCCACGAAAGCTCCCTGTGAACCTTCCAAGAGGGCTGTGCTCCTCACTTCCACCATCTTCAACTTCGTATCCTCCCAAACTTCCACCATCTTCAACTTCGTACCCTCCCAAAACGGCCGAAGCTTTTCGTTTGCAGCCATCTGTGTCTGCCAAACCATGCACTGGGAAGGATTCATGGGTGCCGCTGCTGTCCGAACCACTTTTTGGAAGGTGTTTGTCTCTCTCGATCTGCTTCTTCACATGCATCGAATCGGAATTCCACATCATCTTGGACATCGACAGAGCTCCAGGCCATGCACCCAAGGGGCGTGAAATCGGCCGGTAACCGGTTGGAGGGTGCTGGAACAAAGCATGAACTGTGCAGCAAAGAACCCAAACCAATACACTAAGCGCATTCAATCATTCCCTAGAGATCCAATGGTACCTTCTCAAAAGGTGATTGGACACTGTTATGTAGCTACTTGGATCCCTAGGGCTTGATTCATGCGTTTTCCACCTCGTTTTCCACATCCTTCGCCCCGAAACTGGGCCGCACCCAGTGTCGCGGCGTCAACGCTTCGCCGGCGGCACCGCCCCAAGCCTGGCGTATCGCTCTAGTCGCGGAGAAGGACTGGTCGTTTCCTTTTTGCCGGTGAAACCGGGTGAGAACATGGAGAGAACGTGGAGAGGGTACACACAAAAGGATGGAGAAACATAGAGTTGATGCGAAGTGATCACATGCAATCAGGAGTTGTTCTGTTTCAGAGAATGAAAAGAAACACCAAAACATACAGTGTCCAAACCCAGAGTGACCTTGCTGACCGGTCATGGTACACGATGCGAAGACTCCGTCGTCTTCACATCAAGCGCTTCCATGAAGCCATTTGCTGCCTGGAAGAAGAAGAAGAAGATCCCTCCATGAATCAATCCTTTCAGTTCTCTCAGGATCTATTTGTTGATTTGTAGACCTCTTGCACGGGAAAAAACAACAACACAGTTTGGGTCATCTGGAGTTTGTCCTGATCACTGCAAGAGGCCTCATTAACACGTGGACAAGCACGGAGGCCCGGACCAGCTGAACAAAAAGCTGCTCACACAGACTGCCAAGACCACCTTGGAAGCGTAATTGTTCCGCCTTTCAGGATGCAACACATTGGCAGAACATATAGGGAGACTGGAGACCTCTCAAAGACTCAAACCCCCTTGAAAGAAGGAAAATAGACCAAAAACCCAATGGTTTGGGCGTCGTCCTATTTTAAGTACACACCCCTTCTCCTCCTTCTCCTTAACAGGGTCACTTCCTGTCTGAGTCCAGCTACCATGAGTGTGACCGTCACGACATAGAGGCGTGATGGAAGTCATGGAGACTTGATTGATTCAAGTGCCTTACTAGTAGTAACAAGAAGCTAGTAGTAACAAGTGCAT